GGAGTCCATGAAACGAAGTCTCCCATCCTTGCCTCCAAGGCTGTACTTCTCCCATGACTGATTTGTTCGTTCTTCCGGCAGTCCATGGGTACACTCAGTATTATTATCATTTTTTTCCAACCTCATCGCTGGCTTAGGAAACCCTAGGGGGAAGTTCTGCTCTCTTCTACAAGGTTGCTATACATCAGAGTCAACCGGAGGGCAGCGGGTTGAGTTTAGAACTGCACCATCAAAAAAAAAAAAGAACTGCACCATCTAATCCCAGAGCCTCCTTTAAGATCATGGATATCCTGGGCTGTAATAGTGGCGCAGTGATTAAAATGTTTGACTCCCAACCCAAAGGTTGGTGGTTCGCACCCAGCAGCCGCATAAAGGGAAACTGTTGAGGCAGTCTGCTTCCTTGAAGATTCAGTGTGAAGCATTCTGCTCGGTTCTATAGGGTCCTTAGGAGTCGACGTTGACTCCAGGGCAGGTTTGGTTTGGACTTTGGGGTGACAGTAGAGCGTGGTAGGAGTCAGCTAGGCGCGGAGTGGGTGGGAACAAGAAAAAAAAAAAAGATCATGGATCCATGGCTGGTGTACTGGTGTTGGTTCCCGTGGTCAATCACAGTGGGCCACAGTGAACTTCTGGGCCACCACCCACCCCCACCACATTTTTTGTTCAGCTTGGGAGTTTTAGTTAGAATTTAGCATCGATCAGCAGCTAGAGATGATGGTCCCTTTTATGGAAATGATTTCAGGAAAGGTGCCTTCAATGGGCTCTCAAAACTCACAGCCATTGAATCAACGTAGACGTATAGTGACCCTATAGGACAGGGTAGAACTGCCACCTGTGCGTTTCTGAGGCTGTAACTGTTTACAGGAGTGGACAGCCCCGTCTTTCTCCCGAGGAGCAGACTGGTGGTTTCGAACTGCAGACCTTGCGGTTTGAAGCCCAACACATAACCACTAGGCCACCAGGGCTCAGGGCAGAATCCGTGGAAAGTGGGGTTAAGAAGCATTCAGGATGTTATCACTGTGGGACGCTTCGTTCTCGCTTCCGCAGTGGCCAGGATGGAGACAGATGGACAGGATGTGTGACTGCAGGCCGGCGAGCAGGTGTGTTTGAGAACGAGTGACCAGACTAAGCCATGTTCCTTGGAGTCCCTGGGAGAAGCTGGACATGCTCCTGGCACCACCCAAAGCATTGTGGCCACCAGAGCAGAAGGCAGCAGAAAGAGGTGTGACGTTTCTGAACCAACCAAGGCTGTCGATTCCAACTCACACCGACTCTGTAGAACAGAGTGTGGGATGTAAATCGGCTTTTCCCCAGCTCTGTCTCCCCCAGATTATTGCCACGTCTAAGAGACTGCTTGCCAGCACTTGTGGGAGGCCCGAGGCTTGGAGGTTTTCGCTCTGAAGGCATTCAGCCATATTGATAGGATAGTGTTTCCCTGGAGAGCTTAGAACAGGGCAAACCGGCTCGGTGACATCCAAGGTGAGCCTGCCATCCTGAATCTAGGATCTGCCCACCTTGTCACTAAATTGTTCTCTTTGTCTTCCTCTGCCCGCGCTGTGCATGGGCCTGGCTGCTGAGATCACGGCTGTCCAGGAGGTGAGCATGCCACCATGAAATGTGTCTGACTCCTTTATTTCACCTTCTCTTTTTCCTCTCGTTCTCTATGACTTTACTATCATCTTTAGCTATCATGACTGTACAATTGCGTCCGTGATAGTGTGCGGGGCTGGTTTCCGCCCCAACAAAGTAGAACTCCCAGGCTAGGGTTTTCTGAGGCTGTACAGCTCTAGGGGAGCAGAGAGCCTCATCTTGCTCCTGCAGCGCGGCTGGTGGGTGCTGCTGACCGGTGGTTAGCAATCCACGGTGCTAAGTCGTAAGTCCTGAGGCTTAGAACAAGCCGAAAACCCAAACCAAAGTCACC